GGCTTTCCCTTATTTTATCTCCTCAACCACTTATTCCTACCGTCCAACAAGTCATTTCCAGTCCAAAAAATTGCAATCTATGTCTCTTCGAAAGTCTCACAACACTGACCCGTTGTCATTATAACATGTTTTCATCCTTGTCTTAGACCCAACCATAGGAGTGGTTCCCACTCCAATAAAAATATCAAACTTGTATCAGACAAACACATTATTATTATCAGATATACAGTAAGGGCAATAGATACTATATGACTGTATACGATTTCATATGTTTAAACATGTCTCAATCATGGGATTGAGGAAGATGAACATTTTGTTATTTAATGTGATATTAGTGAAACAAACCTGTCCACAGTCACAGAATCAATCCAACATAAAATACAGACAAACAAAATAAAACAAAGTGTTATGCATAAAATATGTGTTAAGTTGTTAAAGTGAGGTGACCATACTGTATGTACATTTGCATATACAGTATTTTTGTACTTTATTAATTCAGCAGTTGCTACTGAAAGGGGGATGTATTTTTGATGATAACAATGTTGACAGTGTCAATAATTGATTCACTTTCTGATAAATTGAATAATCAGAAGGTAATATTACTGCCTGAACCCCTCAATAAACAATAACAACAATAAATATTTAATTCTAAAAAAGGTTAATAGATTTCTTTCTTTCAGGTTTATTACCGATACCTTGGGAAGATTGACATGTTTTAATAATTGTCACAAGATCAGATTTACACTTTCAGTTCACGCCACAAATATACACAATTATATCTCCAAATGAAGAAAAATGAAGAACTTGAATGTGACTCATTCTCTTCATTTCCTTTTGTTTGGCCCAGAGTTTCATCCTAGTGTGTTGCATGAACATGTGTAACCAGAGAGCGTTAATGCATTGTGTGCATGTGTCCTTACATCTGTATGACTGCGCGTGTGTGTGTCTGACAGCCAGACGTTTGTTCAGGCTCCAGCTGTTTGTATTTTTGGCTGCTGGGGTTTGTTTGTCTGGCAGCTGTTGTGTTTGTGTCATTCAGGCTATTAATTAAAAACACCGGTAGTGGTGAGATGACACTAACAAAACACAGGATTGATGATGTAAATACCGCTTTAACATGTGGCCTAGAAAGCAGCGCAGCACATAGAGGAATTATTAGTCAAATTATCTGATTATCTGATTATTTTGTTTATTCATCTACCGGTAAGGTGTTTGTTGCTTTAACGCCACCCATCTGTCGTGTGTGGACGCTTATTTGTGAGCATCTGTGTGTGTTTGTGTGTCTCAAACCTGGTTTAGGTGTTTACATTTGTATTTATGTATACAAGTTTTACTGAAAGACACTGAAGCGCTCACACAGCTGGACTAACGCCTCACCGATAGAAGTAGTAGCATTAACCTCGAGGTATTGGGTTACAAACCAATCAGGTGCTAGGATTAGTCGCTCAGGTACAGTTACTTGAGTACCTGTCCTCCTCAGCTTTCTGTGACGGAGGTCAAGATGCGTTCAAATGGTGACCACCACACACACACACACACACACACACACACACACACACACACAAAACCTTCCTTCATTTGGTACATCATTTGTCCGATGATAAGAAACTATTTGTGATTATTTATTACTTATTACTTATTCCTTAAATCAATCAATTAATCCTTGTCAGACGTTAGAAAATAGTGATGAATGTGCACCACAAGTTCCCAACATTCCCAAACCAAAATATATTCAATTTACACTCATTTTAAAGAAGCAAGACTTCACAGTTGAGAGGCAGAAACCAGCATCACTTTGGATTAATGACAGTTTCAACATTTTTAGGAAATACACTTTTGCTTTCTTGCCAATTGTTAGATGACAGGATTGGTACCAGTCTCATGTCTGTGTGCTCAATATGAAGCTACAGCCAGGAAACGGTTAGCTTAGCTGAGCATAAAGACTGGAAGCAGGGGGAAACTGCTAGCCTGCTCTTTCCCACACATTAACCCTCTGTAAAACCTCAACTTCACTGTTTTATACTTTGAGTTTTTTTTAGCATTTTATGTTAATAAATGAGCTTCAAAGATGCTGACTGGTGGACTTTTTCAGTTGTAGAAGTGGTATCGATTTACTCATCTAACTCTCGCCAACAAAGTGCTGAATTATTCTTTTAAAGACTGATTATCATAATTATTGATTCACCGACTCTCCGACACTCGATGAACCGACAGTCTGACAGTTTAGCATCAGGTTAGTATGTTAGTATGTATAAATTGTGTCGTCCTCCCACTCTCACCAAATCTTAATTTTCATCCCTCTCCTTCTGCCACAATTTACCCCCCTCCTTCCTGTTTTTTTGGGTACCATTGTGCACCAAACTCTCCTGGAGCCCTGTAAGAGCACAAAAGCACAACAAAGACTCAGGAAGTGATTAGTGGCTTAACGAGGAGGGGGCTTTGCTGGGAGTTAGGGGGCCTGTACGGCCTCTCCCAATGAGACGGGGTGAGGGGGTTAAAGTTTCAGGGCTTAAGAGGTCAGTGTTAAGTTGTGGAGGTCAGTGGAGAGGTTAATTAGGAGCTGGGCTTTTGTTTACGGGGGATAAGGAGACGCAGAGGCGATTCACTTCATATCCTCGCAGTGTTCCTCCAGCCACCCTGGAAGTGTCATCCACCCGCTTTTAGCTGCTTTCCTTCCTCCTCCCTGTTAATTGTCCTGTCCCTGAAAGGAGATGTAGCTGAATTAACTTAATTGTCACCGTTACACACTCGCCCCCTCATCACCACAACACACACACACACACCTCCAGTATTTCCAGTTTCCCTCGAGTGTGTTTGGTGTGTCCTTCCTGCTTCAATTCGAAGAATGTCTTTTCAACTTGGAGGAGCCCTGGCCGTGACTGTCGCTCAGAGACTGTTGTGTGTGTTTGTCCATTGTTCTGCTGTTAAAACACACACAGAGAGAAACATGCTGCGATCCTCTGTAGACTCAAGCATCTCAAGTAGAGCAGAATGAGCTACTTCATGTGAATGTGTGTGTGTGTGTGTGTGTGGTAAGAAGAGAAACAGGAACTTAACTGACACTGAAAACAGCTTTCTTGGCAGCAAAACACATCTAGAAAAATAAATAACCTTTATTGAGCTTTGTTTGTGAATGTGTTGGGTTGTAGTCTAAGGTGTTTGTTTTCTGTCGATTGACTGAGCCACTAATTTGGCGTTGCCCTCCTGTAACACTGCCAGACTCCCAATAGGACAGGCTGCGTTAGCTTCCACTATAACACACCCGAATCTCCAGCAGAACTGTCCGGTCCGGGTGCATTGTGGGCAATGTATGCATCAGGTTTTAAGAAGGAAGATGAAGGTCCGACAAGGTTCTAGTCAGTGATAAATTGGTGGCGTATCCTTTTAACGTCCTTCCACTGGCTGCCAGACAGGAACCTGTTAGCTGGTTCGAAGACTCAAGACGACAGGTGCAAAATAAGTATTTATACCTACTTTTATTTAACTGCCTTCTTACAATTTGTATTTCTTTGTATATTGGTACTTTATTAATCCTTTTTACACATTTTGTTCCTATTATTTATTTTCTTTAAGTCTTCACCTCATCTTTTCATCATTTTGATAACGTCATACAAATATACTACTGTCATATATTCTAATTATCATAAAGAAAGGGAAGGGAAATACCATGGCGAGCACGAACCCTGTCAACTCGGTATCCCTGTGCATCATCAAGGGTGAAAAACTGGCACACAACTCCTCACACACACTCTCTGCAGGGACATCTGTCTGTTTGGGTAATTGGCATTAACCCTTTTTAAGCTGGGTGACCCCCTTTTTCACGCCCAACACATCTGCACTGGAGATCACATTAAGAAGTGTTTTTTTGGTGGAAGTTCTTTTGTTTGCTGGGCCCAAAAACATCTATTTTATTTTCATATGTCTCTCTCTCTCTCTCTCTCTCTCTCTCTCTCTCTCTCTCTCTCTCTCTCTCTCTCTCTCTCTCTCTCACACACACACACACACACACACACACACACACACACACAGCTAACTCAGCATGAAGGGTGCCACACTCCAAAGCATATGGCCCAGGGCAACCGAAATGTGTTAATGCTGATTGGATATGCTGCTCTATTAGACTAATGTTAGCAGGCCGTATAGGCCCGATGCTAATCCAAGGTAACAGAATGGAGCTGGAACGCAGCTTATCTCTGAACTTATGGATATTAGAGAATAGAAAAGTGATTAGAAAGTGATTAGAGTGGCGGGAGACCACTTAGAGAAACATACGCTTTCAGGTCTGGGTGAGATTTCCAATCACACCGTCCACATTACTGCTATTAATGATGCAAGCAGCTTACCGGGAGGACCGGGGAGGTTATGAGATTTAGTTGATAGCAGACAGGGATGTCAGTTCAGTGTCAGTTCAGTTTTTTTTTTTTTTTTATCTTGTCTCTCTTTTTTTAAATGACACATCATCATAATAAGAGTCTGTTTCCTTCTGTTTAAAGGGCTTTATGGTCTTCTTATTTGTTTATTATCATTCATTCTATATTCTAGCTTTTATAAGTCATAATTGCCTGATGCGATCTGAGTTTTGTCTGATTGCTTTCAGTTTTGTTGGAGGTGAAACAGCATTAAACAGATTTCAATTTAAAAGACTGGCAGCTATGTGGGCTTTGGATAATAATATTAATGATAACAATAACACTTTTCAAAGCAAAGTTATAAGGTGCCTTTGGCATGAAAACACTTCAGGAATGGACAATTACAAATAATACAAAAACTAAAACAGAAGAAAGTAAACACTAATATAAGATAAAAACATCAACATTAATTATATTAATAAAACAGATAAGATGTTGGAAATAAAACTGCTAGCATTAATAAAAAGCAATTTAAAAAGAAGAAACTGTTCAACATCTTAAACAAATGTAACAGAAAGAAAGTTTTGCATATTAGGTTTTAATTTCCAACACACAAACAAATATTAATTGTCTATTAATTAGCAGATGATATAGAGTCCTATTATTTGGATCCAGCACAGGTTGGAACATAAAGAAAAGATGTGTGTCTCTATCTCACAAAGTCCACTGAAACAAAAACTCCACTGATCTAAAATAATAATAAATTTGTCACTGTTGTGATGTTTTATGTTAATGATGCTGTTTTTGGTCAGATTTGAATTTACTGCCAAATGTGTCACTTCCATTCATGTTAATCTGTATTAGAGATACGTAAGTGGACCTTTGTGTGACTGTCTGTTTCCTGTTTTATTAAATGGTTCACAATAGAAAGGCAGTTTAGAAAAGGCTTAATCTGTGAAGCTCTAAAGGAGATAGATAAATCCTCTGTGTTTGATTGACAGCGCTGCCATGACAACCCCGCATCAGCCCCAGGGTATCCAATGAGGAGGCAGATCCAGGGTCCCTCCCTGACTCCCAGGTGAGCTAAAGAGTCAGACTTCAGCAGATTTCTGTCAGACTGTTTCCGAGGCACACTTCGTCTCCTCTTTGGCTTCACTCTGTCATCCAGATGGTGTTCAGATCGCCGCTCGACTTTTTCTCAGCCTCCCGTATCCTCCTGCCCCACTTCGCGGATGGGCCCCCTATCCTGGCCCGCTCCCGGTCCCCGGAGGACCCTTCCTCCGCCTGTCCTCCTCTGGCTCTCCCGGGACTGTGTTTCTCTGCGGCACAGATCGCCAGCGTCTGCGAGACTCTGGAGGAGACCGGAGACATCGAGCGGCTGGCCCGCTTCCTCTGGTCACTCCCGGTGACCACAGACGGCCGCGACTCCATCTCTGAGCACGAGTCCGTGCAGCGGGCTCGCGCCGTGGTGGCCTACCACACGGGCAGTTTCCGCGAGCTTTACCACATCCTGGAGACTCACCGCTTTACGCGCGCCTCGCACGGTAAACTGCAGGCGATGTGGCTTGAAGCGCACTACCGGGAGGCAGAGAAGCTCCGGGGTCGGCCCCTCGGACCGGTTGACAAGTACCGCGTGAGGAAGAAGTTCCCGTTACCGAGGACCATTTGGGATGGAGAGCAGAAGACGCACTGCTTTAAAGAGCGCACACGGGGGCTGCTAAGAGAGTGGTATCTGCAGGACCCGTATCCGAACCCCGGGAAGAAGCGGGAGCTGGCGCACGCAACCGGACTCACACCAACTCAAGTTGGGAACTGGTTCAAAAACCGGAGGCAGAGAGACCGTGCGGCGGCAGCCAAGAACAGGTCAGTGACTTTGACTTGAAAAAAGTTGTCCATTGAGTCTTTCAGTTGGCTTTTGGAAACAGGAAGAAAGTGTCAATTTAATAGCCAATAAATGCCTAGAATAAAATAAAGTATCAAACACACTGTTAAAATCAAGGCACCTCATATGTGTCCAAAAAATGTAATCACTCCCCTTATTGATCACTCACTTACTTTCAGTCACCGGTTGAGGCAATTTCTTCTCCACAGGCAGCAAGGTTGTGCGTAAAAGGACCATTCATGCGTAAAAGCGCACGGCCATTCAGCTTGTAGGTTTTTGTTTTCCTTCTGTCAGTCTGACCTGGTCGATCTTTCTTCCACTCTCTGCCTCACTATAATTTACTTCAGGGTCAGTGTGCGGGTCAGCCTCCCTGTTGGTGAAGGAAAAACGTGCATGAATGGGTGCAAATTGCTTACCACACATGCCCGAGAGATAATTGTTCCTAGGCTTTGACGATAATTTCGATCAATTAATTTTAAGTATTAGTTATTAGAGTTTGTTTTTGTTCTTTATTTACTATAACAAAACAATATAAGGCGATGTTGTATTTTACTTGGATTTAGGCTGACTTTATCACTTCTAACATCTCTTCTTTTTCTCTTTATTTTCAGGTTGCAGCACCACCGGATGTGTCCTGGCGGTACGCGCTCCTTCAGCGGAGGAGAGTGCAGCCCAGACGAAAGCGGGGAGCGCGCAGATGGAGAAACTCTTCTCTCAGTTACGGACAGTGACTCTGACTTGGATGTCTGAGACTTTTAGTCTATGAAATGGACCTTCAATGGGGGCCTGTGATGCTCCCCGTCATGGATTACCGAAGAGGAAGAGGATGATGATGTTGGTGGACAAAAAGGCTGGTCAGGGTTTGCAATAAACGATCAGGGCATAAAACAGTTCCATCCTTATTAACACCCCTCTGTGCTGCTGGTTCACTGACCACCAGCTGCAGATCAGGCCCACATTTCTGATGTTTAACTACATCACTGTGGTGCACATCTGATAACCCAGCTTACACCATCGACCTCAGATATCAAACCATGGACCCCTGTTGGACTTTGACCCAGGGACCCCTGCATGGGAGGACCTTTACAGACCAAAACCTGTCAGTGAGATAATCATCCTTATTTTCTCTAATTATGTGTCAATATATGTTTTTTTGTTTGTTTGTTTCTTAAGACCCCTGGATGTCCACTGCTGTAGACAATCAATACGCACTGAATGCCTACCTCCTGTCTGGCTGTTTGTATGCTTATGAACTTTTATTTTAGTTTCTTTACCTTCACTTGTACTTTATTTAAAGTTCACAGAGTTCACTGTGCAGTCTGTGTGTGATGATGTGTCCTCCTCTATGTTCAATTTGATGCTGAATAAATGTTTTGGTATTTTATATAAATAAAATTATTTAATATATGCCTTTCACTCTTCTTTAATGACACCACCACTGTAATATTCCCAAGGAAAGTGTGTGTTTGTGTGTGTGAGGGTGTATCAGCATACACACATTCAGTTCATTTATTAAATTTTTTTTTATAACACATTATGTGTATGGCTGTAGGCAGACACAATGACATTTCAAGTGTTAATTAAACAATTAGAAATTGATTAAACATAAGTAACCAGTGTATAAAAGGTTGATGAATCATTAATAACACAATATAATACAACTGTAATCATATTGAATGATAAACTATAGCCTTACAGTGTTTTTATGAAGCATTTATTAGCTGTTAAAACACAAGGATTTACCCCAAAAAAAATTTTCTTCATTAACACATCATTTTAGGATGATGTAATAAACTTGGTCTACTTACATGTTATTTCCACTGAGTGTGGAGTCTTTGGGATTAACAGTAAATGACTGAGAAGCAGTTTAATGAGCGCGGAGGATTTTCCATAACTCTTCTGTTGGCAGTGGTGGAAAGTACATTTACTCAAGAACTGCATTTTCTGCTACTTTACACTTTCAAATCCACTTTATCTGAGAGGGAAATATTGTAATTTTCACTCCACTACTGTTATTTAATAACTTTAGTTACTTTGCATATTTAGATTAATCATATAAAATATAATCAACAAATACAAAATGAAGTACTATTATAGATTATTATTCACAAACTACCCAGTAAAAGAATTAAAATCAGCTCCACATTCACCAGCTGTGACATTATTACATTACATTGGGTATTTAAAATGGGAAATTCTGCAGAAAGACTTTTGATGCAAATATTTTTGGACTTTTATTTTGTAATTTGTTTGGTAAAACATTTCTTTACTTTTTGTATCTATTGGATCTTACAACTTTTGTATTTCCCCTGTTTAATAGTCTAAAAACCAGACTTTTTAAGACCTCTGCACAGTAGCTTCGTATTTGTTGGTGCAAACATTTTGATTGTAAACATACACATCAAATACTGATCCTCCACTGATAAAAAAAAAAAGAAAAGAGAAAATCCCAACAAGTCTAAACAAAAGAAAAAAAAATCAAAAACAGTTATTGTTTTCCTTTCATTCATCTGCTGACCTGCAGCGGGGAGACAGATTTTTCTGTCAATACCACAGTGTGGAGACAGAGTGGCGCCATCCAGTGGTCAAAGTAAAAACAGCGCGACCTTGTTAGTGCAACAAAATCCTGTTTATGTCACTTTAATACAGAAACTAAACAGCTGAGAAAATACACAAAACAGGCTGAACAGGTCAGTTCAAACCGTTTAATTGCTTCAATAATGACATTATAACAGTGTTACTCATATTGTAACACTGACACACTGCTTTGTGTACTTTACTTTGATTTTATGCAAAACTCCCCTACATTCAAGAAGGAAATATCCAATATATATTTATTTTATTACTTTTTACTCTCCTACATTTATATGACAACTATTGTTACTTTGTAAGATTTTTAAACACAAAATATTTGATCAGTTTATAAACTGTGTATTAACTTTACAACCACTTGAAGGAAGTTAATATTATCTCCATTGTGATGTGATATTAAGATGCTGTTTACACATTTATACTTACAATAGTAATATAATAATATGATCTACAGTAAAACGCTCTGGAAAAGGTTAAAATGACTGCTTTTACCTTTGAAATTTAAAGAAGGCCTACATTTAGCTGCCAATACACTGAAGTCATCATTTTGAATGGAGGACATTTACGTTGCATTATTTTAATAATATTATATATTTATTATCATCCACATTACACTAGCAACTTTATCTGTGTTTCTCTTGTGTGTTGCCATTCAATTTTTTCCCAGTGTGAGGCATAAAGACAGGAGATATAACTTGATATAACAGATGAGTTCCTCTGGGTCACAGAAGTCCAATTGTGGAAAGTAATAAAGTACATTTACTCAAGTAACCTTATACTAATACTAATTTGAAAGTACTTTCCATGTTACTTCTACTCCACTGGCCTACATTTCAGGAGAATATTAAACCTTTTACACCATTACATTAGTCTGACAGCTATATTTGAAGAAGCAGTTAGTTTTTAAGTTTAAAACATACTCAATTTATAAAATATGATGCATTATAGATGAATTATAGATTCAACTACCCAGTAATTAAGATTAGTTTAAATTTGACCACTTTAAACACTGACATGGGGTCATTCTGTGGCCTACTGAGTACTTTTACTTTTGATCCTTTACATACGTTCTGCTGCTAATATGTATATTTCATTCTTAATCTTACTCCACTTTAAGTAAGATTATGAATACAGGACTTTTACTTGTAATGGAGTAATTTTACCTGGAGGTACTTTTTCTTAAGGTAAAATAATCTGAATATTCTCATCCACCACTGCAGAAATCGACTTGATTACCGTTGAAACTCTAATTTACGAGGTGCACTTGAACACAGCGTACCGTGACGACACATCCTAAAGGTGTCGTCATCCCGGCGGTACGTCCCGCGAGCCAGCAGGTGGCGCACCTGGCCAGGGCCTCGTGTGCAGGTAGAGGTTGAATCCTTTTCTCTTCCTCTCTTCGTCGAACCAAGTCCTTAAAAACACATTAATTAAATAATAATAATAATAAAGTTAATTAACGAACCTTCTCAGGAGAAGCTGCCAATCAAACAGTGTTGACAGTGTTGGTAACTAATTAAAACCTGTAGGGAAATAACACCTAACAGAGTTCATTTAAATGTAGGTTAATTTAAAAGAGATTTTAAGTTAACTTTTTGTTATTTACTTGAATCATTGAATAAAAAAAACATTAAACAGAAACGGTGAAATACCATAAAATATGTAATAAGAAGAAAAATCAACTACAAATTGTAAGTCACAGTCAGAATAAATGCAGAATAAATGTATAGGCTAATAAATGTATTTTTTTAAAAGGACTTTTAAAAGATAACACCGCAATGTTAGTACCTGTAAATATATTATAGATTGTTAATGCAACTTTATGTAGTGTTTACTTATTTCAATCCCCTTTTTCCTCCTAAAATCCACTAAAATAACAACAAAACTGCAGCAGTTATACTTATACAACAGTACCAGTTGGCAAATTGTGGTGATATAATGAGGATTATCATCACAATCGATTGTCTATATTGTATATAGGGATGTCTTGTATTTGTGTGTTAAGTTGCTGAATTGAAATTGCATAGAAACTCACTGGACATTGAATATATAAACAGCTACTGTAGTAGTATCATATATAGCCACAGGGATATACAAAAGGGTGGCATTAATTTTGATTAATTCCTAAATTAACGTACTGATCTGTTATGGCTATACATTTTAGACCACAGTTTTAAATTAAACTAAAAAAAACCATTATATTTGGAAAAATGTTTTAAAAATAAACCAGTATATTGATTTTTAATGCCACTTTTAGCTCATTCTAGTCAAAGCTTTACTAATATGCCACAATAATGATATAAAACATCTTAATTTTGGGGACTTTTTTTCCCCAAGCAATGCGAATTAAATCAGCATATATTCCAACCCTTGAAGTCTCCTCTTGACACCCTTATGAATATTTAACAGACAGGTGACATAAACAAACAAATAAACACTCACAGCTGACCAAAAACAACCATCACACCTCTGTAATACTCCCCTCTTATATAGGAGCAGCTCATGGTGTGACTGCAGTACTCAGGTATGGAGATATTGTAACACACTAGTCCAGCAACGTGTAATAGTGTCGTTAGGACATTTGTGGTATCCACGTTATTTGTGTGTGTGTGTGTGTGTGTGTGTGTGTGTGTGTGTGTGTGTGTGTAGGCTGTGTGTGACCGTGCATAAGGACTGAACTGATTGACTGGCTGTATTGGCTGTCTGTCCGTCACACACACACACACACACACACACACACACACAAACCATGCCTGCGGGTGAATTCCATCCCCCTCTTGGTCTCATGCGCTTAAAAAACACCTCTTCCATTTGCACGCGCACACACGCCCCCCCCACACCCTCTCTCTCTCTCTCTCTCTCTCTCCCTCTCTCTCTCTCTCTCTCTCTCATCCGGCGCCAGAGCGAGGGTGACGCGTTTTGCGCATTTCCTGCAGCTCGCGCTCACTCGCGGATTGGGAGCGAGAGGGGACGGGAAACGGGGGGCGCGCGCGAGGACCGACAGGAGAAGAGAGCGAGAGAGAGAGAGAGAGAGAGAAAAACACAAACGCGAGCAGGAGCACCGTGATGTATTAAGGGTGCTCGTGAGCCCCCCTCCCCACCCCCCCAAAAAAGACTGCATTGGGGTGCAGAAAGGCACCGCTTCCCGAGAGTACGCGCAAATATCGCGGTACCGTGAGGTCGAAAGCAAAGGAGATTATCCCAGAGAAGAGCGAGCGAGGGGGCTGGAAACGGAGCACCAATCCCGGATGGCTAGGCGCGGCTGCTCGCGCTCTCTTCCACCCTGACCGGGAGAGACACACACACACACACACACACACACACACACAAGGACCGCGGGGAAGCTCCGGGTGCTCACTGACGTTTTATATCTCGGCCTGTTTCCGCCGAAACGGGAATCTTGTGTGGCGCACGGGACCGACCGTAAACAAACAAGGCAGCCTGCTCTCGGGGTGGGAGAGTGTTCAAGCAAGCGACCTCTGAAGGGTGTGAGTCTGCGTTGTTACTTGCGATTTTCTTTTAGCCCCATTAAGGATCCATCAGCTGTACCGTAAGCGTGCGTGTGTGTGTGTGTGTGTGCGCGTGTGTGAGTGTGTGTGTGTGTGTGTGTGTGTTGTGATATGGTTGTACTAGACTGAGAGTCCGAGGAGCCAGCGGCATTATGGGATGTAGCAGGACTGTGCAGTGACCCCGCTCATTGGAAGGAAACACACTGTGTACAGGAGCAGGAGCAGGAACAGGCAGACTAGCCTAAACACACACACACACACACACACACACACACACACACACACACACACACTCATCCTTGTGTCACACACACACATCCCAGGAGCCATGCCTGTGTTCAGTGGCCTGTTGAAGGTGCGAGTGTGTGAGGCAGTGGACCTGAAGCCCACCCCATGGGCCCTGCGTCACGCCGTTGGGAAGAGCGGCTCCTTCCTGCTGGACCCCTACCTGGCCCTGAATCTGGACCAGACCCGGCTCGGCCAGACTGCCACCAGGACCAAGACCAACAGCCCCGCCTGGCACCAGGAGTTCTGCACCGAGGTCCGCGAGGGAAGGAGCCTGGAGCTGTCCGTTTTCCACGATGCGCCCATCGGATACGACGACTTCGTGGCCAACTGCACCATCCAGCTGGAGGACCTGCTGCAGAACGGAACCAGGCACTATGAAGACTGGGTATGTGTTTGAATATGTAGCTGTGTCTCAGTCACCAAACAGAGCATTTGGGGCAGAAGTCCTCAGGGTACTGAAGGCCACAGGTTCTCATGTTGATACATTTTTATCTCACAGCATTATGGCCCCCCTCTGCAGGTGAAATCTCAGTCGTCTGCATCGTCAGTCTCTGCAACTGTTGCACTGTTTGCAGAGCATATTTCACGTGGTGCATGCTGGGCGATTACAGCACAGTGCACACTGGAACGGGGCCTCCGTAGTATAATCCCCCCCCCCCCCATCTCCTAGGCATACGCATACATTTTTATTGTGAGTGTTCAACCAAAAAACGAGTTCTTTATGTAACTTATTCATCCACGAAAAAAGAGACTAATTGGTCATTTGCTGCTTCATAAAAGTCACACGTTTGTTTCCTGAGAGCTTTTCTTAGCACAGCTACTTGCATGCCCAGTGAGCACCTTTTGGGGAGCTCAATGCCTTGCTCATGGGTAAAAAAAAACGGGGGGGGGACTTATCTGACTCAGGTGCTGCTTCTGATCCCTCAACTCAGGGCACCTACTGATATGGACTCATACTCCGTTTTTTACCCAGTTTAAAATATGTATATATAGCAGAAGCTGTATTTAATGTCACTTCTGGCCGCCACCCAATCCTCCTAATAAGGTCAACATAGGGGCCAATAACAATCCGGTGCATCCGTACTCACATGCACCTCTGTGGTTGCTGTTTATAGTGTTCAGAGCATCTCTCAATTGTTCACCTCTCCTTTTATTCCAAGATATTCTCTTTCAAAACGTCAAACCAATGCGTTTTGTGCATCTCGTACGTGTCAACACATTTTAGAGGAAGTCCCTACTGCTATCATCATCATCATCAGCAGCAGCAGCAGCAGCAGGAGCAGCAGCAGCAGCATCATCATCAGCACCACCATCTTTTTTCACTTTCTTTGGCAGCGCAGCAGCCGTGTGAGAGTGAACTGTGAATTCAACTGCACACGTCTGTCGTCAAACTGCGTGCGTGTGTCTGTGCTGAGACGTTGGCTGGTTGTCCGGTCGGGGTCCAGTTTGGTGTTTGGGTCTCCGACAAGAGTGACGTAGTTGTCTTTTATTTATCCGTGCCATGGCAGGGCTTTTTTTTTTTCTAGGGGTTTTTGCTCTGCAGCTTTCCCTCCCTTTTCTATTTGTGTCCCGGGAGCTGTTTGGACTCGCAGTAGATCTGATTTTGGCATCTCAGGTCCGGCCTGCAGTCATCCTCACTCAATTCCTCACATTCCTGCTGCCTCTTTGGACTATGAGGTGCCCTTGTCTTTTCCCACTGTAGGGTTACATTTATAAAACACAAAACACAACAATGTAGATATTGTGAGACTTCACCACAACCTGGTTCAGTGTCTTCAGCAGGGGGAGAGACTGAAGTTCCTTTAATTTGTTACGGTTTCTCGTCATGTAATCTCATTTGCGTTGCGACTGTGATGTGGGGCCTGACGCATGTAGATCTGTATGTAAGGGGATAAAGAGCTACTTTGTTTTGGGTCTCCAAGTTTTGTCTAACATGTGATCTTGTTCCACTTTTACGCTTTGTTTTATCTCGTCTCGCTTTACGCCAGATGAAAGGCCGATGAAGGTGAGAATTCTTGGAGCTGAGAACATCCAATAATTTAAAATAGCCGAATGTGACGTTTCGTTTTTAGCCCATTACCTACAAATATTTTTACAATACTGCCGACCATTTTCCAAAGTATATTGTGAGTTGTTACACTAGTTTTCTACCTTTCAGGCAGGTATTGGATCCAATTTATGCTGGAAATCAAATGAAAATCAACTATCAGAGACGTGAAAATATAAAGCTGCGATTATTACAGTCTTATTACTATCTGTTTTGTCAAAATTGTAACACTGTTTTGAAGACTCTTAAATACCAAAGTTTTTAATACAGACCCTGCTCTCAGCTGGATTAACATATGACCATGACGTAATGTAAAAAAAAGAGAGGCAACAAATTGTCTATTGTGGTGAATCTCAAATTTTAAGTCTTAGGAAGCTTATTTATTATGCTGCAATGCTGTTAAAGTGTTACTGAAAGCTTTGTTAATGCATGTATGATGTAAAAGTAGACACGGTTTGGAGTTAGTAGACTAAAGCGCTCAAAACCAAACTGTATGGGTTGGTAGGAGGGGCTTAACTGATGTATAGTTATGTCATTTTATGCTATATGAGTATACACACTGCTATATACTGTACACACACGCACACGGACACACACCTCGTCCCATTGGCCATCCAGAGTAAGGTCAGAGCATATGGATCACTCTGTTGATTGACCACATCCCATTGATCAGCCAGCCGGCTCGTCAATACATCTGCCTCACAGCGACACAGTCTCCCCCCCAACCCCCCACCAGCATCCCCTCCATCCTCCTCCCTTCATTACTCCATTACTCACCACTTCTGCCTCCTGTGTCTCCCTCATCTACCCCTCTCCAACAGCGATTCCCCTCTCATCTTCCTCACACTTACCCCCCCCATCCCCCACCCCCACCACTTCTGTCATTTACCCATCATCTTCTTCCTGCCTCGCCTGTGTACCTTACACTCCTCTTTCATCTGCTTCCTCCTGATGCTCCCAGTTTCATTTACTCTTATTCAGCCTCCAGTGGAAAGAGAAGGATGTAAAGTTCAGACTCAACAAGGAAATGGTGGGAAATGTAATAGTTAATAATCACATATTCTCGTAATCTTTTGTGTCATACACTAGTTTCCCACAGTCAACGTTAAGTATGTGTTAAAATAAGATACACAATTTGAGGGTAAAAAATTGGCCATTGCAAGTAAATAATGAGTGTTGGCATCAAACATTTTTATCCTTTTACCGCCCAGTGTCCCCCTCGCAGGATGCTATAGCACTATGAACATTCACAGACTGCTAGTACTGTAATAAGTTGCATGAATATTAACATGTAATATATGTTTTGACCAATTATAGAAATTATAATAATAAGGAATAATAAATAAAACACAGGAAATAATATTGCTGTGTCCAAGGAGATGGGTGGTAAATACTAAAACTTTAATTATATAAGAAATAGAGCTAACTAATTTTTAATTACAGTGATGATTTAATTATGTATATAGATAGATATTCAATTAACAATCATCAAAACAAACAAATAAAACAGAGAAAAGCTGAAAGAGAAGCTGGAAAATGAGAATGCTGCTTAATAAACGACTAATAAATTATACATTTTATACAAATTTATCAGACATCAGAATTGTTGTTGATGTATTCTCTGTTGATTGACTAATTTCCCAGTTATGTACTTGTTTGTTTTAGCAATGCCAGCGGCGTGGCTCTAGTGATCGCCTGTCTGTCGGTTGGTTGGTCCGCTAGTTTGGTCAAGACTGAAATATCTCAACCAGGCACGACGCCAGGATTTCAATTTCAGATGGGCCCAGGGTAATTTTGGCTGGGCCTTTTTAATTACTGAAGTTAAAAACTGTTTGCCTTACTCTGTCGGTTTCCAACTGGTAGTGTAGCTAAAAGAGAAATGATTGATATCTCGCTGTGGAAGGTGACGTAGCACGTCTGGTTGATTGTGACACTAAAAACATTTTCAGTGGTGAAATAGTAAGAATTGTTTACCCTCAACAGTTTGTGTTTCTTACAAGCAGCACATGCACGTATTTTGCTTGAATTGTGGGAAAATTAAAACATTTTTTTGTTCAATTGTCATTAATTTAGAACACTAATACTTTAATTCTGTTTAAGGATCTTGTTTGGATGATCTGGCTGGATTATTATTTTTTGTGTGTAGGATTTAGTTCTTAGTAGTTTAGTTTAGTTCATCTGGTGGTGTAGTTGCAGAAACTTGGGTGGCCATGAAATGCGTAAAAAAAACGAATTGCCCTACCTAGAGCCACTGTTTGGTTTGTCTGTTCTGGGCTACCATAGAAACATGGCGGTTCAACCTGGCGGACTCCATGGAAGGCGACCCCTGGTGTTAATTTCTTCTTCACACATGACTTCACACGTGATAGTAGCCTAATAAAAATTGTCTTTTACTTTTTCAGAAAGGGAAATTCTTTTATTCTGTGTTGTGTGAGTGAAAGTTATTGTTGTCTAGGCTCTGTAGGCCCACCCACAACGCCACACCTGATCTAAGAAATTATTGGATAGATTGGCATGAAAATTGGTGCAGATATTCACGGTCCCCAGAGGATAAATCCCGATGGCTTTTGCAGGCTTTTCGTCTAGTGTGAAATATATCCACATTTATTGCCATGGAATGTGTAACACACATTCATTGCCCCCTCAGGTTGAATTGTAATCATTTTGGTGATAATGTTAGAATAAAATAACATTCCCTGCACCATAAAGGTGCACCAAATGGTACACTTCCTGCCGTTCAGATGAATTCTGAGGCTTGTGTACCTCAGCTTTGTCTTTCTCACTTCCTCCGCCCTTCTGCTGGCTCACTCATCTCATCTCATCTCATCATCCCTCTCGTCTCAGCACTGTTATTTCCATCCTGTCTGCTTCCTGTTCCCTTTTGTCTTCCACCACCTCTCCATGATACATCTCCTGTGGACCTGAGCGCTGTGGGCCAGGTTGCTGCTCTGTGCCGCTAGTGAAATATTAACCAGGCTTTGATGCTTATTAATTGTCCCACTCAGTAATTGAGATGCTCTGTGGAGCCCATCCCCATGGTGACAATGACAGCCCGTCCCCTTGGTGACAGCCTCTCACCCACAGAAACACCAGAGAGGAAGAGATGGGTAGGTGAGACTGGGGGGAGATGGAGGGAGAGGGGGGGGGGGGGGTAAGAAAAAAAGCTAAGTAGAACAGTGCCTTGGTGGTTCTTTGAGAAGTCAGAATAATTTAAATGCAGGGCCTTCAAAGGTAGAGAAACTTAAAAGGTTTCTTTGTGCTGCATGTCCATTCGTTAAGGGGAAATTCCATTTTACCAACCAGCCCGATTGTGGAGATTGTGTATGCAGATATTCAGC